AACCTACCAGTGCTGTTTTTTTCACCTCTATTGTTCCTTTAGGGTTCATTTATTTATTATTACAAGTAAATATATAGCGCCAACAATTTACACAGTGCTTTACACATTGTCCCTGTCTGAAGAAGCTGACAATCTAAAGTCTAATCATATCTTTGCTGGGTGGGAGGGTTCCAGTAAGCATCTCTGAACGCAGGTTCAAACTGCAGTCGGTATCCCCATTGGGGAGATTTTCTTTCACTTCCTGTTCTGAAATACAACAGAAAAGAGAGGAAATGTCCCCATAGTAAGGGAAAATCCCCTGTTAGTGGTCAACCAAATGGGTGTCCTTCAGTACTCCCCACAATTCCAGTGACAACTATCACATTTCAGATTCCCCCTTACTCCCTAGTGGACATCAGAACAGGAAGTGAATGTGAATCTACTCAATAGGCATACATGTACAGATCCTGCTGCACTCCTTACCGGATTCCCAAATTAGCGTGCGTGCCCGAAATGACTGCGGATGGCTGCGCTCGGAGCAGTACTTGTGGATGGCCTGGGTTTAGTTTTTATTACCATTTGTGTCCCCATTGAGCAGAACTTGTGGAGGATGTCACCAGCACACCATGGTTAAGTGAAGACAACGTCTATTTATTGATGCATACTGTCATTCATAAGCGCGACGTTTCGGGGCTACGCAGCTGAAGGGGACCTTCATCAGGCTTGAAAAATATTGCGTTTATGAATGAAAACATGCGCCAATAAATAGACGTTGCCTTCACTGTGCTATGGTGTGCTGGTGACTTCCTACACAAGTTCTGCTCAGTGGGGACACAAATGGTAATAAAAACTAAACCCAGGCCATACAGAATGGAAGAGTAGGCTTTGGCTGGAATTGCACTTAAAGAGACAGTGTTGTGAAAGCTGACAGTGCTTTTAGGTGAAGTGTTTCAGGAACATGTGGAGCGTGATCCTGCCTGAGTATGGACTGTACTGATAAATCATATTACCTATCTTCAGATGTGGATGAGTGCACAATGGGAAGCCATCAGTGTGCACAAACATGCATGAACACTGCCGGAAGCTTCCACTGTGGGTGCCAGGAAGGATTCCATCTGTTGGAGGACGGGAGGTCATGTGACAAATTGGAGAAGCCAGCAGCCACACAGCCGCCTCTACTACCTCCGGTAGTGAATGTAACTGGTAAGTCCAGTGCTAACTTTTGGTGTGTAGTTCCATGTCCTACTAATTACTGGAGGGCCAGAAATGCAGTCACATGCTCTCCAAAACTGTATTCTGCTTTGCTGTTCCATATTTCATGCCCTGTGGAAATCATTTTTTGCTATCCCAGCAAGGTGCCACAACCACCCAGAGACCTGACAGGTTGGTGTCTGTCCATTATTACTTTTGGTACGCGCTGTGACACATCAAACTCGTACCGTGAGTAATAATGCGCAGCTGCTGACGCCATCAGCATGGACGCCGGACAGAACGGTCAATATTCTACATGGAGTTCCTACGGTTGGATTTTTCTGTATTGTGATATTTATTTTTTTTATAAAATATGGAAAAGTTAGAACCTCTGTCAGGGACTTATTAAGCCCGTGGCACACTGCACACAAAGCCGTGCAGAGCGAAGCAAAGCTGTCCGGCATGGAGCTTTGCGTGCAGTGTGTGAGCCGAGTGCAGGCAGATTATTGACTGCACCTTCAGCCAACCGGCCAGACGCGCATTTATACGCGCAAGCCGATTGGCTGAAGATGACATTTTTCATCTCGGCACGCTCAGCTATGCGAGCTCACGCAAGCTGACGTGCCAGGAAGAAAATTACATGACACACTGCTTGTGCCTGCTTCGCGTGCAGTGTGTCACAGCCTTTAATGTCTGTGTCTACTTGTCCTGGTGACAACCCCTCTCTCATTTCTTATCCTGTTGTCACAGTGAGGTGAAACATCCTCAAAGACTCTAGTGTGACATTATATCTCTACATTGTTACAGTTGTATTTGCATATGAGGGCCTTTTTACCTGAGTTGCATTGCAGCACAGTGATTGGCCAGGTGTGACTAATGGAAAGCAACGCAGGATTCATAGGCTGGATTCATCATTGTATTCTTACAGCCACCAATCAAATTGAAACCTGCACTGAAAGCTTGAATCTGATAGGAGGCTGTGAGTTCCATATAGATATATACAGTTTTAGTGAGATATATTAGTGACAAATGACAGTAATGAATATTTGCTCTCCCAAGATTCACCATAATTTCCTTTGAAGCATTTTGACCCTTCTCTCCTTTGCAGTGGCAATCCCAGAGTCCGTCAAGGAGGATATACAAGAACTGAGGAACAAAATTGAAGTGCTAGAGCAGGTGAGAGGCTTCATTAGCTCCTGGAGTAATTAAAGAATAAACTAACGATCATATTTCACACTTCCCATGCATCTTTTTTGCATCTTATTTATTGACTATTGCAGTCTGCTAAATGAAGTTTCTATTGTGGGAATGCCTGTAATCTGACTTCCAGTTCTGTGCAGCAAAAATGCTACATTACGGCCACTAGATGGCGCTGATGATCATTGGAAACAAATGCATTGTATCTAATTACTGACATATATTTATTTCCTATGATCATCAGCTCCATCTAGTGGTTATAACGTGGCATTGTCCCTGTTCACTCTGTTCTGTATGAATGAAGCTATGGAAGAACATTCAATCAGAAGAACATTCGTTTTTACCCCATTCTTACAACAGCTGGTTAACTCGCTCAGAACAAATGTACCTGCAGTATCACTGGATGAATAATCAATGTGAATTTGTATAAATACAACCCTACTGTATGTGTTGGTACTCAGACCAGCTTTTTCTCTCTCCCTCTGCAGAAACTTCAGCTGGTTTTGGCTCCATTTCACAGTCCATCAACCTCGTCACCAGAGGACATCCTGGGCCCCATCACACTTCTGACACACTCCTTCCAGCAGCTGGACAGGATAGACTCGCTCAGCGAACAGATCTCTTTCTTGGAGGAACGGCTGGAGACGTGTAAGTATGCTGTGCCACCGGTGCCATGAACCAGAACATGCGTGTGTTTGATCTTCACATTCTTGAACATGAACAGTCAGAAGATATAACAAGTAATATCATGCGTACTATACAAATAAAATAAAAAAATCACAGCAGTCGTTCAGAAAAGGTGGCGATTGTACTGACTCACATGGAACCATTATAGAAGGCCTGAAATGATCACACACACGACAATCAGGAAAATATGAAGCATTTTTAAAAGACATTTCACAATTTAAAGGGAAACTGTCAGGACAGGTATGGGAGCTGCCAAGGGAGACTAGTTTTGGACATTGCAGGGTCTGAGGCTGTCATTCTGATCCTTTTCCTACTACTCAGTGATGTAGAGCATGTGTATATCAGGGGTCAGACTCGTGTTTTGTTGGTTTTTCGGGCTCAGAGGCTCACTAAGTATTACAGACAGGATCTCCTCTCTCTCCTTGTGCAGGTGACTGGTCTTGTCTCCGCCCCCTGCTGTAGCTTTCTTTGCAGACATCCTGTAGTGGGTGGAGCTTCTGGGTCCCTCCCACAGCTCTGCTCTCTGCACAGGTTATGTACAGCACAGTGGTGATGTCACTGCTACTTTAATATGGTAATATCTGGTTTTGCAAGAGCATTTGGTGCTCACAAAGTGGATGTATATCCTTTGTGGGTTTTCAGGGATATATTGAAATCAAAGTGTTGATAGTTCAGCTTTAAAAGAAATGTAGACAGAAATTGAATTCAGTTTTGATGTGACGTTCACCCTTTTACCAGCTGTACTGCACATGTAAATTTCTCCCTAGGTTCCCCTTTTAAATGTTTCATGTTAGACAGTGCAGTCAGAACCTATTGTGAATGACTGCCGTGATTATATTTTATTTGTACAAAATGATATTAATTTTTTCTGTTAATAAAATAAAAATTTGTTCAGCCCAATTAGCTGAATATTAAAAAATCCAGGACTCTGGAAACCTCTCAGCGCCCGTTTGCTGTGGCGAAACCAAAGCGGCAGAACCGCCGGATAGAAAGATAATAAACACATTGCGCTCCGTTCTGGGAACGTTCATTTGCTCAGTAATTAGGACTGATTAAATAAACAGTATTTCTGCCCGTGCGCCGTCTTTCGCTTCGAGAACGCGGGGCGCACATTTGTCCATGGCTTATTTGCTGCACATTAGCAGACCGGTCAGGTTTAAGATCTTATTAGGCCGTCGTCCAATAAATCGGGAATCACAATCTGTCCTTGATCTTAGTCCAAGCCTCGCCTCGGCTAACGAGCCGTCTGACTGTCGCCCTGTAAAAGGATGCGGCATTACCGAATAGGATCAGTTGAAACATCCCATTAGACGCGACAATTATTGAATAGTTCCCTGCACAGAGCCGAGGACGCAAATGACGGGATAACACATTTACAATACATTTCCGGCCTTAGGGAGACCTGCGGCTCAGGGCAGAGCTTAATTACCCAGAAACAGTGATAAAGCCGCGTCACATAGAGCCAACGTATAGAAAACCGCATCACGCTCATCCTAAAAAGCAATCCTTTCAGCTTCTTTGTTTCTTATGTAATATAGTGTGTGTGTGTGTGTATATTTGCCTTAATCTACACAGTCAAGTTTATTCTCCCTTTTAAATTGGTAATTTTAAGGTCATCACAAAAGGCAAGGGGACATGTTTTGTAACTGGAGGGAAAGAAGTTGCTCTTGCCAACTCCATATTTGGCTTCTAAAAGAGGACTGGATGAGTTTCTGACTGCACAAAATAGATATGGCTGCTAATATTTATAAGAAAATTATTATAGAGTCCAGGGAATATCCAAGTGTCTTTGGAGATCAGGAAGCATTCTATTTCCCTGTTGGAGTAGGCTTTATAAAGGTTTTTATGCATTCTGCTAGATCAACAGCACGTCAATGGATGAGTCTAATTTCATCCTAACAAAAGTAAGACGTCTATTTATAAACAATTCAAAGGACCCTTCACCCTACCAATAGCTCTGAATAATGCCAAAAACGAATGTCCCTATTATGTTTTTTCCCCAGTTGGAATGTAGTGTGTTGTGATATTAGATTATGGCCACTAGATGGAGCCGAGGAGCATTAAGTATTTATATCCTGTACTCCTCAGCTCCATCTAGTGGCCATAATTTAATTATTGCTTTTTGTAGTACACTCATGTAAAAAGGATCACAGAGGTTTCCATGCCTTATAGCGCTAGCTCCTGGCAAGGAGGTAACCATTAGGTTTAGTAGGGTGTCTATAGAACAGAGCAGAAAATGGGCCCATTCCAGGTGGGGATTAAATCATACTTAAATTATGAGGAATAATTACTAAGAATAGCTAAATAACGATTTCACAGCTATGCGATATTCTGATAGGTGAATTGAACACTTTGATGTGAAATAATGGAAACAATGTGAAAGTCGCTTCAAAACTTACTTTTCATTAAAGTGCTACAATAATGATGGATTACAACCATTGTGGGTCTTATGCACGCATGCATTGACTCCCATCAAAACTCTTCTCTTCATACAAGTCCATAGGAAGGCCAAAAGCAGCTCAAAGCTGCTTAGAAAGTGGCCAGGAGCAACTGAGAAGCAGGATAGAACCCAAAATTGAAAGTGGCAAAGTGTTTGGGGTAAACATGTTGAAAAGTTTTCATACATTGCCTACATTACACAACAAATGTCAGATTATTTAGATTTTAGAGGAAATAAAGAACAATTCTTATGTTTTATGGTTTTTCTTTTGTCTTTCAGGCTCCTGTAAGAATGAACTTTGACCACCATGGCCCATGCAAGACTTGTGGCCAATACACGATACAATAACTGTAATACTGTACATCTGCCTGTCATTTATGATGTCTGCAAAAAGAAATGTCTGTGTTACTCATAGCAGCCAGAAGCTTCCCTTCTTTATCCTATGCTGCTCTTAAAAACTGAAGGGAAGATTCTGATTGGTTACTAGGGGCAGAACAACCTGCCCTTCTTGCATACCATTTGAACAGCAAGGCTCATTATTCCGTCAGTGTGCCGACTGCGGATGTATATAAATTGCCGGGCACTGGTTCTAATCCAGCCATTCGGAGTCCAGAACTTCTAACTCCCAATGGGCAGCAAACATTTGAAAGACACCAAATAGAATAAGATTTTATTTACTTCTCTAAATCTGAATTTGATAAATAATAACTGTCCGGAAACTCGGTGACCGGGAGACTCTGCCGCCAGCATGTAATCAATCTGGCAAATCCTCAGTGATATTTATACATTTCTTGTAAATAGTTTACAAAACTCTCCATGCAAACCAACATAAGCCGCTTATTTCTATCAGTGAAATGCATTAGTAAAGAGAACCTGTCATGTCCTGCTCAGTAACGGCAGTACACAGTGCCTGGTGTGTTGTGTATTTTAGGAGGAAATGCGGTTCTCTATGTCCACCCTGACCGGAAATGCGGTTCTCTATGTCCACCCTGCCCGGAAATGCGGTTCTCTATGTCCACCCTGCCCGGAAATGCGGTTCTCTATGTCCACCAGAAGGCCTGTTCATATCATACAGATACAGTGACCTTCAGTGAGGGTGTAAAGTCACCTATGGTGGGAGCGTGAGGAGCACATGGCACAATGTACAAAGCACATCAGCCATAGTGCACACCATTTCTGTAGGATGTGACAGGTTATCCTTAAAAACAATAGTACCTCATTAGCGACTGAACTATTCTTACATATAAAGTGTCACATGAGTGTTACATATAAAGTCACACATGAGCTGATGCAGCTGGTCTGCGTGGCATGGTGACAGTTTATGTTTTGTGTGCATGAGATGAGTACTAAATGTATACTAATAAGCTAGACACAGGACAGTTAGGCCGAACCCTTAGTCAGGAGGTTAAGGTTCAAGGATCTTGGAACTGTCATTCCTTTGAATGTGCAAAGGCTACCATTGCCAACTGGTGCTAGTTCCAGGGTGGGCACAGGACTCTGATGCTATACAGACAGGTCCTCTTCTACCACCAACATTGTTTTGGTTGGGACAGAGGTCAGCACAGATGTCACTGAGCTATTCTGAATTATGGGACATAGTTTTCATAATTAGTAAAAGGAATTTTTATGGAGTGATGATAGCTTCCTGTGCTGAAAGCACACATACAATTGCTGTCCTAGCTGACCGTATTGTGCAATCGTGTATTTGGGTGCTCTTCTATCTGCAATCAAATAATACATAGGGAAATCTGATTTCTAGGGGCAAAGGTTCAGTCCACCTGGAACAGATGCTTCCATTTGGGAGGATGCCAAGTAAGTTCATTTTAAACTTACTTCAAATCTAGGGGGCTCCAGCAGTCAAATGTCTGATTCTCTGACCTGAGTTCTCGGCTCCGCCCACCTGTTGCAGCCATTTCAAGGGGTTCACACATTCCCTGTTGGAATGGTTTGTTATATCACTTTACAGAGAATACGATAGGGGAGTGAGACTCCAGTGCTTCACGGATCACTGCCAAGAACATCAGCGGGGTGATCCATAAAAGACGTAAACAAGCAGAGGTTAAGTTCAATTACCAGCATTCACCCAAAACTGAACAGTAATCGCATTTACATGTTACTTAGGAGCAAAAGTCCCTATACAGAGGGCAATCTTGCAGTGATTATTGTTGCAGCGCCACCTAGGGGGCTGAACTGTAAACACTTTGTTGTAGCCAACCATGTTCACCATTGTATTATTTTCCTATGAGATGAGTTGTACATTTTGATTATTTTCTAGGCCACTCTGAAATCATTGTATGCATTTCCTTTTTATTAGAATCAGTTTGATATATTTGGTCCGGATTTGTGCAGATCACGGGTGTGATGTACACCGAAGACATTTTCTATGATGCTGCTTAATGTAAGGTTACACTTTCCTCTCGAAGGTACACGCTCCTTTGTATACAAAATCTGTATTTTACAATTTCGTTGTGTCGTTTCCTTTTTGTATAATAAAAATGATCTTCCCAAAGTCATTTTCCTCGTCCTGGTGTTAATTCTCTGTGGAGTGTTGCTGGTGCGGATTAGAAGAAATGAAAAGGAACTTTGCAGAATAGGACTATAGGAGCCATCATTGCCAATTCTCCTTGAAAGATTTATACTTCAAGGATGTCAATCTTTTCCCTTCTTCACGATTCTAAATTAGGAACAGATGAGCCAGTAACTGACTAGGTGTTGAAGCAAGGATAAGGATGACACTCCCAGAGTAGGCAATTCAATAACGAGATGGAGATTCCAGTCAGCCTCCGGTGCTGCTTGTATGCCTAAAGGCCTGGTCACTTTGTTGGAATCTACATGTGTGAATTTGGAGCCTCTCCTTCAACGAGGATCATGTGACCAAGTGCCCAGGCCTTCAGACATGTAAGGTGCACTAGAGGGAGCTGGAAGCAAAAATTTCACCTTGTGCTACCATTTATTTAGCCTTCCGAACAAGAAAGACTGTTAATGTTGCTTTAAATGAACATTTAAGTACAGATCCACTTTAAAGTAAATCCCACCCTCTCTGTCAAAGACATAAAACACTGTATTGAATTGCAAGTAGTATTTGGGTGCAGACATGCCAAAATAACAATATACATGTCTGGTTGGGACTGATCTAACATGAATTATAGTGTATGGCATCCCTGAGCCTCTAGCAGACACACAGCCATGAGTTGCCCTTTTTCCTTATGTCATAGCTGCCAATACTGGGAGTGGGGCACATACACGCCACATCTTCCAATGGCTCCCCTAATGTTTAGGCTATGGCCCTCCCCTCATGGGAGTCAAAGGGAGATGTGGTGTTCCATTCTATTCTAGCTCTGGTTTAGCCCATTGGCTAATTATATTCAATTTTAAGAGTGGTGAGCAAGCTAAAGGATGCACAATGCTCCCAGGAAATTGCTGGGCTTGGTATGTGATTCCTATGTCTCTAAATACAATCTTACCATACACGTTGGGGTATATCTATTTCCCAGCATGCACCAGTCACACACAGAAAGTGCTGCTGATCTGTCAGATGAAAAGCAATAAAAGTGTGAGATGCTCATGTGTATGAATTCATTAAAATCACTGTAATTCAAGAATTTGTAGAGCTGTCACAATGCAGCCCAAATGCGAAGGAAGTGCTGCGTTGTTCATATAATGCATTGTTCAGGTTGTGTACGAGACGCAGTCACTGCTTTTCAATAACCCAGAAACAACGTGTGGTTTTTCATTCTTTTATAGACGTTCAAACATTTACACAACACAATCAGAAACGTACAGAGACATCAATCTTTGGTTTGTTTTGTTATAAAGGCACTTTGGCTTTTCATAGAAATGTAAAATAGTAAAAAATGTATCTGATGTAGGAAAATATATTTTGATGGCCTATATGGGCTGACTTCCACCAAACTTGTTTAAAACCAACCGGCTGTGATGTCTTTGGGGGATCTTTTAACATAAGCAATTATATGCAACTGTTGTACATTCAGATTACATTTGGGAAACACAAATAAATACACATGCAGTTCTTGCTCCTGAGTGAACGCATCGTCTCTTACCAATAAGAATCTGAAAGGTGGAATTCTGCAATTTTGATACACAATTATACTACTATCTGTTCAAAGATCTCCAGTGATCTAAGAAATATCTACAATGTGTTACTGACAACCACAACAGGAAACGATGTCTAGATTGGGGTAGGAAGGTCTAAGGCAGGGGTGGGCAACCTTGGCACTCCAGCTGCGGTAAAATTACAAATCCCATCATGCTATTGACTGTTAAAGTCGCGCCTACGGCTGCCAGAGTGCTGCAATGCCTTATTGCAGTAATCCCACAACAGCTGGAGTGCCGAGGTTGCCTACCCATGGCCTAATGCAATGGATTTAGGTATTTATCTCTGAGCCAATGACTGAGACACTTCCAACTGCCATCTCCCATCACCTCAACAATCCACAAATAAGGAAATGGCTAATAAAATGAATTGTAAATCACATTGGGGTTGCTAAAACTGGAGCAGCCTGAATCAGGAGCAGTTGCACCTGGTAACCAATTAGCTTCTCTCTTCGGTTTGTTCAGTTAAGCTTTGAAAATGAAAGAGAGAAGCTTATTGGCTGCCATGTACAACTGCTCCTGGTTCTGTCTGCTCCAGTGTTCGTACATTTCCCTCCATGTGCTTTATAAATGTTGTAGAAAACCTGGACCATCCATCCATCCGAGATCCATCCATGGTCAGTCATCTGCATCCACATCAACTATTGTGCTGGGAAAAACGCATGAAAATAATTGATAGAATTTAACGATGGAAAACCGCATGGCACAATGAACAAGTAAAACCAACGGCTCTACTAAATAAAAATTATTATACAAACATAAAAGATAAGATAAAACACGAAGAATTGTTTTCAATTAGAATATTTAAACTTCCGATCATAAAATTAAGAAATATATTACCTGACGGCAGGTAGTAAGTAATTACACCTATAATACATCTCCAGAGCGTCATGTACTGGAATTAGAGTCTCGTATATTACTTTGGCAACGACAAACATAAAAGCAGCAGTCATTAGTCCAGTGCAAGTTGTGATTAGACACAACAGGAAAAACAAGAGAAACAGAGGAGGAAACACTGAAAGTCATTAGTAATAACCTCCAGCCATCCTCAAGAGTCAAAGCAGAGTCCAGTACAGCCA